CCCCCCCCCCGATGAAAAGAACAAGGCTCATAAAAAGAGGGTCCGGGTTGAGCCCCCAAGACCGCGGTTGAAGGAGCCCGCCCATCTACCCACAAATTGAGTCCCGGCGCGGTAAATCCACATGCCGTATATTGCGTAAGATACCACACCCCCTGGGCCGCCCCTGCCGATGACGTTGTAGGTTTTCTTTTGCCTTCGCCGACAGCTTTGGTTTAGGAAGAAACCTGCGCCTGCCTGTGTTCTGTGTGTTTTTCTCCACTCCTTCCACTTCCGACGCTGTGCAGTTGTTCTACGCTCTTTGCCTTCTCTACCCCACGGGCCACGAGAGAGAGAGAGAGAGAGAGAGAGAGAGAGAGAGAGAGAGAGCCCAGCACAGAAGAATTTTTCACCCCACGTCTGCTGTAGTTTTTTTTTTTTCCAAGTCTGCTTGTAGGGTGTGCCATCGGTCGGTTACTCGTTTCTACCGAGCGAGAGCTGCACGCTCGCTCCAACACCATATCTCTCCTCTCGTACTATATCGTTGTCTATGAATGCTGCATTGATCCTGTGAACATGGCCTCATAGAGTGGAGCGTGTGGGGCTGAACCCACATAGAATGGGCGAGAAGCACAGCTGCTTCGGCGAATTTCGAACGCGCAACACCGGGAGAGAGTGTGAGTATGCAATGTGCGATGCGGGGAGGGTGTCACAGGTTCCGACGACGGCGGAATTTCGCTTCGCATGCTACGATGAACATACGAGGCTGCACGGACAGATCTCACCATTATTTATCCTGCCTTGGCTCTGTTCGACCCTCTGCTCTCCTGCTCGGCTCTCCCGCTTTCGTTCTTTCTGTGCTTGCTGTGCACGGCAGCTCAGGCACCGATGCCTTCGGCCGATATATTCACCCCTACGCTTCTATCCTGCGGAGCCCCCAAGCCAGTCCGCGGAACGGTCTTTTTTCTCATATTTGTGTCGTCGTGTGGCTCAATGGCTGGCCCACGGTTTGCGCATCGACGTCGCTGAGTGCGCACGAACGCTTACAGCATCGACAATGTTCAAAGGACAAGGAAGCCAGCAGGAAGGTAGGCTGTTGGGTGTCAAACTGCGATGATTTCCCTCGCGTTTATTTTTGAAGTGATGCAAGGTACATGTCTACTCGCCGCAGAAAAAAAAGAAAAATTTAAGTATCTGATCGCTAATAGATTTATAGTCTTTTCTGTGCGTGTATTTATTCTCCTTAATTTTTACTCTAATCTAATAGATAGATTTATATAAAAAATATTTTTTTATGATTTTTGAAGAACTTTTAGTTTTAGAGGAGCGGCGGGTATCAACCACCCGGGTATCAACAACCACATTTTTTCATATGTTGTTGTTGTTGTTGTTGACTTCACATTAAACCGTATGCCAGTTGCTAAATGCCAAAATCTAGCAAAGACTCTCAGCCCGTGGTCACGAAAGTGCTAGAGCCATCTGAGGATCTAAAGAACACGCACACGTAGCAAGAAAAAGGTATCCAAGAGCCCGAAGAGGTACTACTACACCTATATATAATCCCTGCAGCACCGTACGCGTGCCCAAAACTGAACTACACGTCCGTCTCACCGTTCGACTACAGTAACATCACCCCCTACCTGTCCCACTCTGTACCAAAACGAATGATTGCCAACTACAGTATACTTGCTGTCTGAAGTGCTGTCTGTACAAAAACACCCATGGTAGGCAGGAACAAGAAGCTGGCGGGGCACAAAGCTGCTGTCTGAAGTGCTGTCAGAATGTGTCTGCGGACGTACA